CATTATATGCCACAACTTTTTCTGAGTGAAACAAGAAGAAAGAGGATACATAAATTGGTAACTATTCCTAAAAGTCAATTGAAATGCAAGAAAACCACTTGTGATGTTCACATAAATAGTCCTACAAGGGCAAGAGAAAGATCATAAGAGATTAATGTACTATGGCCAATGATTTTATGAAGATAAAGGTGTCCTGATATCAAGATTCAATGAGAAAAGACAAATACAGAAGCAATCCCCAAAACATAGCATTTATGAACAGCAGTAAGCCAAAAAAGAAATGAAAAGAAAACCTTTCTGCTCGGAAAGCCAAACTTTTAAGTTCACAATCTTCCGCGAATGCTACTTCTTCTGGTTTTCTATCTCTTCCAGAACTGACTAAATCTGAAAGATCGGATGTATTCTGCCAATCATAGCAACAATTACATAAGGTATTCAATTTTTAGCCTCAGATATTAGCCTCTAACAAAGTTGGCAATCAACGGTAAAGCATCTCCACAAAAAGAAAGGCAAGAAATAAACAATGCAAAACAGAGACATCCAACCTGTAATAAGAGATCATATAACCGAACGAGCTCTTCAGGCTTAGTAGCTTTCTCGTTTTTGTCATCACGTCGTCTGGTGAGTTTACTCTTTGCATTGTTAACTAACAGTTGGTTGCGCTCAATAGTTCGTTGTCCTAAAACAGCACTAACAGCTTTGTCAAGGCCATTCAGGTCATCCTTCACATTTTCAGAATTACCTGCACTGGCCTATATACAACGCTTCAGGAAGAGCAGCATGAAGAATTCAAAGTAATGCTGAAGCACGGGACAAAAACAAATGTCCCTCTTGGGGTAGGCATCAAAAACAGAAATGTTCTAATATTGAGCAATTTCCATACCAAGTCATTGCGAATGCAGCTCCTTGCCTCATGGTATGCAGTAAAGATTTTGTCAAAAATGCCTAGTTTTTTCTCTGGTGGGAGTGAATTAGCTGATGAACCAAGTACATCTTTCTCCAATTCTTGAGCTGAACAAGGTTATGACATCAAAACAAAACATGGCACTTTATTAGGATTATAAACGTGAAAAAAGAAATAAAGAAAAATTATATGATGAATCAGACACTATATTTGCGCAACAATTTATTTATGTCGGAGCCATTATATTAAGAAACAACTAAATTAAATAAATTACTTACCTTTTAAAATGGAAACTCGAGTTTTTGGATTCGATATTGGAAATCTATGACCAAGCCAATGAAACTCTGTCATGGAGGCAGCCTGTTGAGATCTTGCCTCAGCCATAACAGCCTATATCCAAGTTTCTTCAAGTCGTCAGTAGAATAAAAAGAAGCCTCTGAGGGATAAAGGAATGAAAAAGCAACACATGTTTGGTTTACTTTTAATAACAATCAAACTTACCTCCAATTTAGCCTTGAAGAGGTCAAGAGCAGGTCCTTCCATCTCACCAATTTGTAGAAGTTCGGAGGCTTGTAGATTTGACTCTCCAACCTTGTGTAGGCAGTATCGAATACTAGGTTCTAATTCTTCAACACGCTCACGGCACAAAACTTGACTCTCCAGGTCTCCATATTTCGCAAGTTCCTCATAAACAGCCCTATAACGTATTAACAAAGTTAGCCATACACTATTCATTAAACCAACAATACTTGACCCCATACATGCATATCCATCTCAACTCAAATGTTGTAACTGTTCCATAAGAATTGATTTGCAACGAAAAGCAATTAGAGAAATTATATTTCATTTTTCCATAGGTTAATGCTTCTGATTGTTGATAATGAAGACTTTTGGGGCAAGCAAAAACTAAAGGCATCACATTATTTGAAATGGGATTCTTTTATAATTTTTTTTAAGGTGGACTTATCGATCAAGGGGAGACAGTTCCCATGCATTTCTAATATAAAAGCAACATTAAAGAATATATATAGTTTGAGAGAAGAATGAACCTGGCACTTTTGAAATTCATTAATGCTGTGTCCCAATTTTGATCTTGTTCAAACAGCAAGCTCCCTTTCATAAAGGAGGCATAAGCCTACATAAATTAAAACGAGCAAGGTGAGAAGAAAAGCAATCATGCCACTTGATACAAAAGTTCTCCTAATCAATGTAAATCGCATGTTAAGCATACCATATGATTATAAAGAATACTGCTGGCAATTAGACATCTGGAACACATCATATTATGACCCAAAGATAATTATAAATTTAGAACAGGACATAATAGCCAAAGAACATGCAACTCAAAACAAGACAATGTCAGACGCACCTCAGCTTCTAAAGAAGTTCTGGAATCTCCTTTGATTGCACACAACTGTGCAAAGAGAGTAGACCATTTTACCGCCTTCCTCAGCCTACCAATTAGATAGATCCGTTGACGAGCATTTGGACCATCCAGAACCTGTCTTTTTTCCATGGCATGGCTCCAAGCTCTCTCCGCCGTATAAAGAACAACATGAAGAAACCTATCACAAAGCCACAAAATTTAAACTGCCAAGCATGAAACTATCGTTCCTCCATACTTCAAACTTCATGCATTCAGCTAATTAAGCAATAAAACCAGAAAACCCACATAAACCAAATGAGAATGCAAGTGATTGAAACATGTAATTCAATCCCACAAACAAAAGGCATAGAAAAAAGAAAACCCACCTCACTTCAGTGACAGTAGATTCAGTTATGGCTCTGCGGGTGTATTTACCACGGCCATGAGTGAACTTCAATGACTTATACAACCTCCTCAACCGAGCAGTGCAATACCTCCTGCAAAAAAAATAAAAAACCAAAACTTCAGAAAGAGAAAAAGGAAAACAACAAAACAGAAATTAAACTAAATGACGATGAATGTACCGATAGCGAGTGTAATCGCCGTGGCGCAAACCATGCTGCATCTGAGCAGATTTCAAGAGCTGCAACACTGTAAAAATCAACATTTTAAATAAATAAATAAAACGACGAAAATGATGTAATGATTTGAAAAACGAAGGGATCTGAGAACGAACCGTTAATGGAGAATTTAGGGGCGATCTGATCGGAGCTGTTTGACTTGAGGTCGTCGATTTCCATAGCCGACGACGCCTGGCTATCTTTCCCCATCTCAAAAGGCCTTGTTTGAAGAAGAATGACACAAATCAATTGATTAGCAGAATGAATTTCGCACCGAAACGACGACGTTCGGTTGCCGAGAAAACCTACCTTGGATAAGGTAATGTATCGGGTATTGTAATTGGATTGATTTCTCCGGCGGCTGCCTCGCAGTGATCTCTCTCTCTGTGGCTCGTACTAGTTTGTGTATGGTCTCTTGCCTCTGGCGCTGTTACGGCACGTGCACACGTAAAGGGGCATAATTTGTAATTGTAATTCTATTTCAATTCTATAATATAATGGGTGATTCAACTTTACGACCTAAAAAAAAGAATGGGTAATTCAACTTTAAATTGTAATTCCATTTCAATTCTAAAATGGGTAATTCAATTATAATTTTATTTGAATTTCCATAATGGAGTCCTTATTATTTTTTAAAAAATTCAAAATTCATAAAAATACCATTTTACCCCTTATTAAATTCTCTTTTTCTTTGCACTAGCCCCTTGGCACATTGGTTTTCTTTTTTCTTTTTTCTTTTATTTTTAGAATTATAAAAAGATAACATGAATAATTACGTTCTATAAAAGTATGACCTATTATCTGATTTTGTTTTTAATTTTAATATCAAAATGTGAATTTACCATATTATCCTTATTTAATTAATAATTTTAAGGGAGTTTCACTAAAACACCCAAAATGGGAGCTGAAATTATAAAAAAACCCAACACCCAAAACACTTTATAAACACACCCAAAAAATATACAATTGTTGACTTTGGGGTTGATTTTGGGTGTGTTTCTATGTTTAAATAGTGTTTGGGTTTTTTTATAAATACATGTTTAGAATTGGGTTTATTTATAAATTTGTATAATTGTAATTCTTAATGTTTGGATTAACCAATGGTATTTTATGGTATTTTGAATGTTTCACTATTCTCTGCATTTTGCTTTATATATATAGATAATGACCTTTATTTAACTGGGAATAAAAATGGCCATCATAATATGACTGAATTGTCATGGTAGGGATGAATCAGAGGTGGAGTGTTGCCATATGATTGTGTAACATCTACAGAGTGACTTTTCAATACCAACTTAGATTAGATGCTGTAACATTTATGCCCATGCTTTAGTATTTCATGCTAAAAGAAGAAAACTGATTTCTATTGAGAGAAGCTGGGTTACTGATCCACATGATCATATTGTCTTATATAACAAGCAACAACATAAAGGCCTTTCAATTTCAATCCTAAATTGGTTTCTTATCTCCATGTATGGCTAGGCATGTCCATTCAGTGATTGCTGAATTGAAGAACTCCAAGCGCCCTTCACGAACGCATCGATATCTAGCATCAAAGCGAAAGCAAAGTCTCGTGTCGAAAAACTTAACCAACTCCAAGCACGGGTATACCTGTCAGCGGTCGAATGCTTGGAATAGTTGATGATGAAGGTTCAAATTTCTGTTGGAATAGTCTAAGATTTTGAGTTGTCACCCTCACCATCTTGTTTAATGACAGTTTTCCCTTCACTTATGATTCATCCGACTACCCACAAACCTAAACCTATTATTGACCAAGCACCTATAAGTTATAACCAATGACTCTGAAGGATTGTTTTCATACTCCTCTTTGATTTGGTAAAAGCAGCATTAAAAAATCTATATAGTTTGAGAGAAGAATGAACCTGCCACTTGAAAAATTATAGAATGGTACGGTATTAATGCCATGCCGTTTCCCAATTTTGATATTTTTCGAAGACCAAGCTCCCTTTCATAAAGGAGGCATAAGCCTACATATTAAAACTTCATAAAGGAGGCATAAGCCTACATATTAAAACTAAAACGAGTAAGGATGAACATCTGATAATCAAAACTGGAATTTTCAATACCAACTTAGATGTTGTACCATTTATGCTCATGCTTTAGCTAAACTGCTCTTTATTTTTTACCAAATTTAATCTCATCCAGTTGACACAGGTTAATGTTGATGATACAGATCAATTTCAGTATTTCATGCTAAAAACACGCGTTACAATTTTCCAAAGAAGAAAACTGATTTTTATTGAGAAAAGCTAGGCTAAGCAATAACATATAAGGCCTTTGAATTTCATACTACTTGGTCCCTCATCTCCATGCCATTCAGTGACTGCTGAATTGAAGAACTCCAAGCGCCCCTAACGAACTCATTGCGATAGCAAAGTCCATTGTTGAAAAACGTGGCCAACCAAATGTTGAAAATCGAGTCCATACCTGTCGGCAGTCTAATGCTTGGAATAGAAGTCGATGATGAATGTTCGAATTTCCATTGGAGCAAGATCCACCACCAGCTTTGTTGGATCAACAGGCCCTCCCCTCATCACTTTGGCCGCAGCTTCTTCTTCAGAGGAGCCTTCCACTTTCCATGCCAGTCTCTTCTTCTCCATCTCTGCTCTTTCTTGGTTAGCAGATAAACTCATTTCTGCTACTTTGTTTATCTGAATGTTATGGAAAGGAAAAATATTACCATAAGGATTTAGATGGTAAGTATTACAGACCAGTAAAGTTTTGTCATTTCTGCTACCTTCTTATCTGCAAACACCTTTTTGAGCTCTACACTTGCCATAACTGAAAGATCCTTATCCTCTTCAATCTAGCATTTGATATACACCATACAAGTATCAGAGCCTTATTAGAGTACATAGCTGAATTGGTGAGTATATATAAGTTAGAAACTAAAACCTCGTATAAATGTGCGAGACGAAACAGAACTTTCCCATCATCCTGCTCCTACAGAGTTCAAGATACGGGATCAACAATGTTCACGATAGAGAAAATTCTATCATTTATATAGGGTGTTGCTCTGGAATTCATGACAGGGGAAATCTTCTGTTCTACTTCTGGATGAGAAATACGAACCTGGAGGGTTATCATTGCAACATTATCAGGTAAAACGTAGGAAGGATCCATCCATGAAAAGGTTGTCACATGAGAACTTGTCCAGTTATCTCCTTCCTGAAAGAAAATCGGCCATTAGAGTTACAGATGAACCCTCTAGGCAGCTACAAGAACACCGCAACTTCGTTCATTTTTACCTGTTCTGTGAAGGCTAAAAGAAATGGAGAATATATCTCCTGACCAAATGATCGACGCCATTTAGCGCCCTCTCCTAGAGGATCGAGTCTGAGATAGTACTTTCCCGTGATCTGTCAAAGTGTTTTAATCAAGCAAGCATATCAAACGTGAAAATTCTGGTCTTTGTGAACAGTAAGAACCACAAGGTTGATTTTTATGATCATACTGTTAGTCCTTTGCAAACATCTTGAATGCACACAGTTTCATTTAGTGGTTCTCCAACACCTCTGTCATCATCATAGAGCAACCTCCTAATAACAGGGGAAATTCCATGTCACTTATTTCAAAAGTACATTATGTTAGGAAATAATTATTCTCTGCAGACCCAGTGTGACGTGAAATCAAGCTGGTTAGATTCAAGACTGAGTAGGGGAAGATCAATACTAAAAAATAGACATAATTAGGCAGAGTAAAAAAGTAAAGTACAACACAAACCTGTGAACCATCAGTTCCAATTGCCCATCCACAATGCTGGATCCACCTACAGATCTATCTACTAGTACTGACATCTCTGTGTTGTTATCTTTCGCGTAGATTCCGAGGTTAATCTGAAACGAAAATAAATTAGAATTTGTTAAAGAAACTAATCACTTCATAATTACAGTAGTTTAAATGGATAATTAAACTTCTCATACATATAAGTACATACTGATAGGTGTGAAACCAATGATTAATTTAAATTCTTGGTCAACTTTTCTTTTTTCCATTTTATCCTCCTTACAGGCTACTTTAAGGTGAAAGATACATAAGTGTAGTAAAGCGTGAGACAATAAAACCCATTGATTGTAGTAATTAAACATACATACATACCGGATAATAATTTCCTGCAACAGGTTGATTCACTTGCAAGTCCCAGTCTTTTCTATAGTCTCGGATCTGCAAAATGATAATTTGTTCAAGACAATGTCCAACTACAGCTTAGACTCACTTGTTGCTTTCTTTCAACTTGTAGACACTGAACAAGTCTATTCAGAACTTGGCTAGCCAACATGTTCTATTTATGATGATTTAACTGCAAATGAAAGCAAGCACACAACATACTCTTTCAATAAAATCACGCCCGTTGGAATCTGTGTAGAATGTTTTGTTAGTTTCCATGCTGGTTGTAATCTTAGTTACAATATCTTTTCCAATTCCATCACCAATTGGTATAGGCCCAACCTGAAATGAGAACACTGTTGTACAAGGAAAATTCTCCAAATAGCAATTCTTTATATTCGCATGACAAATGCAATGGAAATATACAATAGAGTGCAGTTAACTCACTGTAAATTCAATCTCAGCATGCTCTTTTTCCTTGTACACTCTAGTGACCTGCTTAACCGTGCAACAAGTATACTATTGTAAGTATCGATAATGGAATCTTGATGCCGTGAAAAAACATATGTATATATCGTATTCTCCAATATTTTTATCATGTTCCTTAACAGAGGAAGAAAGTTAGACAAGATGGCTGATACATTGTTCAACTGACAGGGATAACCACCTGATATATCCAAGAGTTGATCCTCTGATGTACTTCATCTAGCAATGGTCCCCTCAGAACAGTTAAATGAACCTGCAATTTCTGATGATAAATCCACTATGTCTTATTGTGATTGCATATGATAGAAGTTGAAGCAGTGCATCAAAGATATTATGTAAGTACCTGTCCTTCAGACTGGATGGGATATGTACCATTAGGGCGGAAGATGTATGCTCCATCAGCCTTCAGAAAATTGAAATATTTCCTTTTCAATCTTCACCATATATGATAACATTTAAAATGTGTAACAACCACAACAAAAGACTTCAATATATCTTTGCATTACCTGTGCATCCACACTTCCATCATCTCCAGCGTAGTAGCTGAATGATTGTTCTATCGACTCTTTGACCTTCAGTTGTAAACTAAATACTAAATCAGACGCATGCAACATAACTATAAAGGAAAAGAAAGTTATATATCAAGCAAAGTTTGGAAACAAGTATATTACAACTGTGTGAATTACATACCGAGCTTCTACTGTTAAAGTATTGAGTAAGTTTCCCTTTATTTCCAGAATAAATAAGTTTCAAGTTTCCTGGCCCAACTTCTATGGTATCATTTTGACTTGCTTCTGACTTGTATACTGTTCGTCTTGCTGAACTAGTAGCTGCACATGTAAGGTGGCATGTGAAACAAAATCTGAGTCATTAAATTTATAGAGAACTAATCCAGTTCCTCTATTTTATTTGCATGAGTATTATAATGCATGGGAATTCACATGGTTAACCTGTCTGTGTGGCACTTGAGACAATGTAAGTGCTAAAACCAAGAGGTGGCACGGTTGCTGAAAATGCAAGCCAATAACTTGGGGTCACACTTGGAGATATTCCCAGATATGCCCTAACATGGTCATTTCTTATGCCGACTGACGCATTAAGCAGAGGTAGGAGTTGTGATTCAATTTCTTTTCCTGTAAAGTCCCTTACAGTGACATTTGCACTGACAACCTGTACCAGAACGTAAAATAAGTATTTTTAAACAAATAAATCAACATGCATGCAAAAATTGTATGCATACAGAAAACATATTGCTCATGTTATACGCAAAGCGACAAACAGATTGCTTATTGTTGTTTTTGGAAAGTACATCTATAAGCTAAAAACACTTCATGCACGAAGACCATGTGGAAGAAAAAACTGAATTACTGCTTTCCATCTAAAAACAAAGGTAAGGATTACAACATGGAACAGGAAATAATTACTCACAGGAATCTTGATGATATCCTCTCTCTTCCATCCAAGAGAGTTATAGACAACAATAACCTACAAAAAAGAATACATCATGGAATTCATACTTCTTAATCAACACATAAACATGCCGGAGTTCAAATGTCATCATCAAACTATCCTCACCAGCGATTTCCCATTTGACAGATCAGCTTCTGATGGGGGGCAATAGCTAATATTCAGAAGTGGACACTGAAATAAGAATATAATTGCAAATGTGAAAAGAAAAGATAGACGTAATTTCAGTTTGTTAGTCCAGTTGCGAACTCAAACAGCCGAAAATTGTAGGACAAAGGGTCAAATTTTAATTTGCCTGTTGAAACTTAGTTGATGGACTCTTGCAGCCAGCTTCTGATCTCGACTCTGTCATGCAAGCAAGTGATTCTGCAACAACCTTCTCAGCCTGCAAGAACAGTTTCATGAAGTAAAAATTAAGAAACTACTGAGAATGTCTGGAGAGGTCAAGTTTTACCTCATTGTAACCTATTGAAAGTCGTTCTGCATAGTCATCAGCCACATGCTGTTTCTCTGTACCACTAACTGCATCATGATGTTGAGCAATTGCTAATGCATCAGCCAAAGAATCTGTGTTAGGCCTCGATTTACTCATTCCCTTAGAAAACTCCAATTGTCTTGCTGCCTGTTCATAAATTGAACCACAGTTACCATAATAATATGGACTGGACACTTTTCTAAGAGCCTAATATGTAATACTTACCAAGAGAAACTAAAATGTTCATAAGAGTTTACCAAATAGTAGCCGCTCAAAGCTCTAACATAGCCTTTGACGGCTGGCCTGCTTGTAAAATATCCAGTCCAGTAAGCATTCACTTTGTCAGCATATCTGATAAAAACACATAACAACAGGTCAACAGACGAGAAAAGGAATAGGAACTTGTAAGTGAAAAAGTGAATTTGAATTTCAAAAATTTAGCTCACGGAAAGAAGTCGTCACTCTTGATCGGCCAGGACTCATTTGCTGCATACTTGGCATCAGTGTATATTGATGGGGTTGAGTATAGGGCATTGACACGTCCATCCTGCAAGCATTGATACAAGTATTTCCATTAACATACAAAATTATTAAGTATTTAGATACAATGCCATTAAAAGGGCCAAAAAGGCAAAATGGCAACAATGTTTACAGCCTTGGACTAACTTGATTCACATAATGAATGAACTTATCCATCTGCCTGAACCATGAATTAGCATATTGATACTTGAAGTCCGTTCCCATGGTCCACATGATATGATTTGTACGAGTAATGTTTGCCTGGATAAGAGAAGCAGAATTTATATAAACCTTAACAGATTTTTCACTCTCTTAAAGTAAAGTTTGACTGACTGACAGCCTAAACAGATGAAAAAGTGATTATCTTGCTGAGTGCCAATATCAGATCATGCATCTTACTTGTGATATTGCAGCAGATACAAACTCATTAACGCGATCGGGCACATTGTAGTCAAACAGATCCATATCATCCTTCACACAAGGAAGGACAAAGTGAATAAATATTTCCATAACTACTGAGCACATAGGTAGATATCAATATCCTGTCAGCTTCACTTGACAGTGAACTTACTTGCACAATAGGGGATTCGTCATTAACTTCAAAGTAGAAATTATCAGTAGGAGGTTCATAATTCTTAGGGAATGCACCAGCAAAAATCTACACACACAAAGAATTTGATCAATAAAACATTTCCAATCTTCAAATGTAAGCAATCAGAAAAACATAGTTTCAAAGCAGAACATTGATATTTGAAGTAGTTCAACTAGAACATCAGAACTACATAAACTTTGTGGCAGTGGCACACACCTGTGCAGATGAACCGAGACTCTTAGAACCCCTCCAGACAACCTCAAGGCTTTTCTCATTTTTCCGTTTCTCTCTGTCTTGGTAGTCGATTCGTGCAAAGAAAAGAGAGTCAAATCCAGCCTATGCCAACAAAAGGGCCGATGTTTAATAAATGGTTTCGCAAAATCACTCACTGATGCATGATACAAATCGGGTAACTGATAAACCAACTGACAGTTTCAGTAACAAATAAAGCTGAAGAAAAAAGCATACCTCAGCCCCCAAAAGGTAAGCCTGCACTGCAGAATGTCCAAATGGGTCGATTTGCCAGCCAATTCTTGGAGTCACATTGAATTCTTCTTTAATAAATCGATGCCCAAGGGTCGTCTGATCGATCATATCGATGTAATGAGGAGCAGCCTCATCATGCATGCACATCCCCCCATTTCTGCCACACAAAATTCAAGCAACTCAAAACCCAAATGAAAAAAACACAACCAAAAAAAAAAAAAATGTACTCTTTCAAACTCATAGCTGCCTACTTGAACAGACTCAAAACAAAAAGAATGAAACTTTGACTAAAATTGCAGCCTAATGCCAAAGACATTGCAGATTTTGTACATGAGTTCCAGTTGACCATTGTTGACTAGCCGCCTGACCGTGTTCTGGGTTCCCTCACTCTGCTCTCTCCACCAACGCTGAAAAAACGCCTGCATTTACAAAGCACTTTAATTTCATTCACCGCTACCCAAAAAATCCATTTCAAATTTCCAACTTTATTTATACTCAGAAAAGAAAAGGTGAAAAAGATTATTGATTGCCTGCTCAACATATATGAACTTGCGGTTCTTATCGGCCAGCAATGCGGGAACCAAAGAATCCAGCACGTTTTGAACACAAGCTCCCTGCGATTTTTAAAAGCAGAAATTAATTAAAAAGCAGAAACATATATTAAGATTAAAATTATTAGAAGATAACGACCTGAATGGAATTGTTGGAGCCAACATAGTACTGGTCAATGGTCTTCAACCATCCGACGTCGTCGTGGGTGTGAGGGACTAAATGAACGTTGAGCTTCCCGGGGACGAGGCGCGACGTCGTATTGTACTGCACGTACTTGGGTTCTGCAATTAGAAACAGAAGCAGTAGCAAGAGCAGCCGAAAGCAAGCTTCAAGCGCCATTTTTGACAGAGAGAGAGAGAGAGAGAAAACCAAACCCAGAAAGTGTATATAATTGAGAGGTGGGTCGAGAGTGATCGAGCGACAAGATCAATGAAGAAGACGTACCAATCCAGTTGGTTTTGTCTTGTAGTTAAGAGTTGGTTTTCAATATACTAGAAGTTTGTCTTTGTCTTTGCTTAAACTTTCCAACCACAAGAGAAAATTATAACTCTTGGAGAAATTTTTGTAGGTACCCGGTACACCAGGCGACACGTGTAATAATTTATTTTTAGTCTTAAAATTACAATAACTTTTAACTCCGTTTGTCTTTTAACTCTGTTAAGAGTCTACTCACTCTTCTGATGCACACAGAGACGTCCCAATTACCCCGACTTGCTTTACAGATGCGTACAGAGACGTCCCATCCCACCCCATGTGGTCTAATTCCAGCGTTCTTCTATTGGGTCATTTAACTTTTGTATTGTTGGACTGCTTGGAGCTCCCATCCCATTGCCATCGTTTTGTCATTTCTTTTTAGTGGCTGAAAGTCTAAACTCGCTTCCATGAACCTTATACACTGAGTCTTAACATCGGCTACCCAATGGCCATGTATAGTTTGAGCATCTTTGCATGCATATACACATGGATTGGTTTGACATATTCATAGACGAATTACAATGACCCTTGTTTTTGAACAAACACATGCAGGCAGGAAGTACTTTTGCTTGACAATGAGATTTCTTTCAATGAGGCCATAATTGAGGAGAGGGAACACGGTATTAGAGAGATAGAAGAACAAATCGGACAAGCTAACGAAATTTTCAAGGACCTTGCAGTTCTCGTTCATGAGCAGGGTGTAGTCATTGGTAGCATTGTATAAAATCTGCTAAGTTTGTGTATTGCAGTGTTGGTGGGTGGTGGCGGTTTGTGTGGTGTTGAAAATTTAGTTGATAAATTTTTGTAGCCTCCAAACAAAATGAAATACAACCATTTTCAACTCTCACATAGTCTCACATAAAAAATAAAATAAAAAACCACAAGTCTCACATGATCTGATACATCATGAATTTCAAAGTTCTAATGACATAGGACAACAAGAAAGCCTCTCCCTTGAAGTACCCAACCTGCATTATTCCTTTGGATCCTGATGTTGCTCAAAACCAGTGGAAAATAAATCTTGATTCAAATGCGCCAAATAATTTTGATCCTGAAGCATACTGGTGAAGGAAACATTTGGTTGACTAAAAGACCAACTAAAATTGGAATCCTGAAAGAAAACAATTACGCAATTAAATAAAGATTTGAAATTTCAAAGATAAGTCTTAAACTTACAAATTAGATTACCTGATTAGATGGAGAAAAATGACCATTCGTTGTTAAAGGTAGAAACTTTCCACACATCACCTTCCAATGAAAATCGAATTCTGGCTTTGCACCCTGTTCTGGTCTTTAGTCTATCAATTGCTTTCTCTTTACAAGGGTCACTATCTTCTCTAAAACCTTCTTTTGAACACACAAAATTAAGTTGTCTCACAACTCCATATTTGTCATATCTTTTTTGTTTTCTTCGAATGCTAAAGCCAATGCTTGCACCATACTCATTATAGAGATCATAAGCTTCTTGCTCGTTGTACACAATCTTCCCATGCAAATTTTCATCGGAAGATTCTTCAAGATTCCCAAACGTTGGATTTTTTTCTTGATCGTTGCTTTTGGTGTTTTCTTCATCCCTTCCAAGATCAATGACTACATTATTGAACTAAAGAAATAATTTTTGTGAGATGATAATGAATAACTATAGGAAGAAATAATTTTTGTAGCATATAACACAAAAATAAATTTAAAAAATCAATAAATTGAGTAGATTAGAAGGTAATATAACATATCAATGATAATAACTATAGGAAGCAGTAAAGACCACAGATCTATGATATTTTTATTCTACTGTGCAAATATGCTGTAATAGTAATTTAAAATTTAAAGAAACACTTGTACCAGAAAAAAAAAAGAAAAAAAATATAGAAATTAAAAGACGATGCTGGAGCAAAGCATGTGCATAAGTTGATGTTTGGGTGGGGGGAACCCTAATGTTCAAATAACCTGGAGCAAAGCCAATTTAATAATCCAATGAATCAAAACTCATGAAAGAGTAACTCAAAAGTAACCTGGAGCAAAGCCAATTAAAAAAAATATATATGTTGAAATCAAAAGTAACTCAAACCACAATATAATAATCCAGTGAAACCAAAACTTATGAAGCAGTCCCGAAAAGTAAAAAAGTAAAGACATGTACGGGAGTAGGGTGTAGGTCATCATCACCTTTTTCTTTGTCCATACCTGTAGCTGAAAACGTACAGGCTGCTATCCCTGATGGCAAAAGGGTTGTTGTCAGAGAAAATTTGTAGCTCTAGGGTTTTGTTTGAAAAACTGGAAATTGATAAATAAAAAATGAAAAGATTCTCGATTGCAGCAAAAGACTAACAGAGTTAAAAAATAAACGGAGTTAAAAGTTATTGTAATTTTAAGGCTAAAAATAAATTATTACACGTGTCGCATTCTCATTGGCGGGTGTACCGGGTACCTACAAAAATTTCTCCAACTCTTGGTCTTTGGCTTTTGGCCGCTGGCTCTTGGCGCTGTGTAGTCACTGTTCTACAGAACTCTGTGTTGTAAATATGGTTTTTTGAAAATTAGTTACGTTTGTGTTGTAAATATGTAACACAAAAAAAAAATTTGTATTACATTTACAAAACACATATACGCATCATTTACAACTTCACATAAGAAATAAGCTAACTTACTTTTGTTTCTTCATTTCTTTCTTATTTCTTAGAGCATCTCGAAAGAAGATGTCAAATACCAAACATTAAATTTAAATTTGATGATTGATGTGGCAATTCGACATCTTAACAAGAATGAGTTTGTAGTAATTTTGGATGGTAAAGATTTCCATATATTTCAAATACAATTTATTGATGTATCGGGAATTTGTGTTCGACTCCTACTCCTCATGAATAAATAAAAAAGATACTATTTCAAATAAAATGAGGATCATTGGTTCTTGTTTCTCTAGAATGAGAATGACATTCATCATTGGTTTCAGAACAACCAAACACAACCTTAAAAGAAAAGAAAAAAGGCGGGACCCACGGAAATCGAGGAAACCCGAACTCTTATCCTATCCAGGATAAGCACATCAACTACCCAACTTCCAGAAAGTCTCTACACTCCACTCTCTCTCTCGCCGGTCGGAGAGAGAAGAAACCAAAGAAGCTAATCAAAAACAAAAATGGCATCTTCAGCCTCACTATCTTCCCCACTCCACTTCCACAACCCACACCCCAGATTCTCCCCAAAACCCTCTACCACCCTAAGACCCACCACCACCGCCACCAAGCCCCTCTTCGCCATCCCGCCGCCCCTCACAGCCGTCGCCGACGTCGACAGCGCCACCATCGCAGCCATCGGCCGCGGCCC